GTTTCAGTAAATTGTCACATAAAACTAACAGACAATTTTCTGAGGAAAATTTAGAAATTTACAATTTAAATATAGAGAAAGCTTATATACTGAAAATCAGCTTCTAGAAAAATTCCCTAAGAAAGTAAATAGATTTCTGTATTAGGATATATGAAATTGATATGTATTAGTTTCAAAAAAGGGGTGAGAAAACTGGGGGAAAGGATGCCCAAATACCTAATTATTAGACAATAAAAAAAAGAGTATAAACATATGAACTATTACTATATATTCATTAAAATTAATAGTTTTCAATAATATTAACATACAAAAATATTTATATTATATTATAATTAAATTACCAAAGAAGCCAAACTGAAAATGTTTCTGTTACATTCTCAACTTCAGGGACATTCTGTAATAAAATTAAAATTTTAGATTGTAATAGAATAATAATTATGATTCTTCCTGGGATAAATGTAGGTTTTTGTTTGTTTTTGCTTTTCCTTTTTTATAGTTTCAGCAGTTTATTTTGATACTTGTAATTGGAAAAAAGTAAAACATACAATTTTAAAAGTAAAATGCTGTCTGTCAGTCATTAAGCACTTTTCAGACAGTGTCCTGTAAAACTACTCAATGTCCCACTCATACTAGTCCAATATTCCACATGCAAGTCCTTGTTTCAGGTTTAAGGATACAGTAATAGCAAAACAAAGGCAGTTGACATTGTAATGAATGAACTAATATCTGTACAGAATGTAACGTGCCCCACATACTCAACGTAGAGAATATGAAAGATCTGGTATTAAACTGAACTCTTGTTACCAACTGTAGGCAGAAAAAGCCATTAAAACTCCATCTCATTCATTTCCCTTCCAATTAGCACTCTCACTCAGAATCTCAGTTCTATAGTATCTATTATTCTTCTCTCTTCCTATCATAATCATTTTTATCATTCAAGGATAACTTCTGGAGTATTTCTAGCTTGAATTCATTCATATTGTATAGTAGTCTTTACTACACATGTTCATATAATTGTGTATTAAATTAACATATATTATATTTCACATTACTCATTATTATTAATATCTAAATAAGAAATTATAAAAGATAGAGACCACAGCTGAATATGGACTAAGTGCAGATAGGTAGAAAATTTTATTCCCATTGGATTGAATATTCTAATATTTCATATAAATATAGAAAACATATATATTTGTCACACAAAAGTATGGAGGTGAGTATCTGTAAATATTTTTGTGTATATAAATATATACACACATATATAGCCTTAAAGTTTTAGAATATAGAATAACTTTTATTCTTGATAAAAATACCACCGAAAATTTGGGAATAAAAATAGATTTTAAATAATTGTTGAAAGTATTACATATTCCCCTTTTCTGTAAAAAACTAGGTAGTAAATATGTTGGGCTCCTTGGACTTTAGAGTTTTATTTATTTATTTATTATTATTTTTAAAATATATTTTATTGATTTTGTACAGAGAGGAAGGGAGAGAGATAGAGAGTTAGAAACTTCGATGAGAGAGAGTCATCGATCAGCTGCCTTTTGCACACCCACTACTGGGGATCTGCCCACAACCAAGGTACATGCCCTTGACCGGAATCGAACGCGGGACCCTTTGGTCCCCAAGCTGACGCTCTATCCATTGAGCCAAACCGGTTTCAGCAAGGACCTTAGAGTTTTAGTTGCAGCTATTCAACTCTGTTGTGAAAGATCCATAGGTTATGAATGAAGAAATCTGTGACTCTGTTCCAGTTAGACTTGACTTTACAAAGTGGTGGAAAGGCAACAATTGTCCTATATGCCATAGTTTTCAGTCCAATTAGATGATTAAATAGGTGGATAGAGTAAGTGAGACACGCATATCTACATGTTAAAGTACTATCAAAGTATTTTTTTTATCTCATCTTTGTAAAATATGGGTACAAGAAAATTAATACTGGGAGTTGTCTAATTAAGTTATATTTGATTTATTCATTTTTAAAAGGTTTTCATGCTTTGTATCTTAGTATGATTTATATTGCTACAAATAATTACTCATTGCATTATCACATGTTTATTTAGCCATAAACATGTATTGTGCATTGGATTCAGTATTCCTTCCCTTACCTTTGGAAAAAAATGTTCCAAGAATCCCAGTGGGTGCCTCAAACTATAGACAGTACTGAATATATGTTACAGACCTGGTGCACAAAAATCTGTGCACTTGGAAAAGACCCTCAGCCCGGCTTGAGTCCTCTCAAAGTCTGGGACCCCTCAGGGGATGTCCACCTGCCAACTTAGGCCCGCTTTCTGGAGGATCGAGCCTAAGCTGTCAGTCGTACAGCCTTAGTGCTGCTGAGGATCAGGAGAAGCTCCCGCCAACGCCGCTGCACTCGCAGCCATCAGCCTGGGTTGTGGCTGAATGGAGCTTCCCCTGTGGGAGTGCACTGACCACTAGGAGGCAGCTCCAGCGTTGAGTATCTGCCCCTGGTGGTCAGTGCATGTCATAGCGACCAGCTGTTCTGCAGTTAGGGTCAATTTGCATATTACCCTTTTATTATATAGGATATATACACTCACAGATATCTAATGTTTTCTCTTATATGTACATACCTATGATAAATCTTAATCTATAAATTAGTCACAGTAAGAAATTAATAATATATATATATATATATATATATATATATATATATATATAAAACCCTAATATGTAAACAGACCGAACAACTGAACAACTGAACAACCCACCAGAGGGCGCATGCGGAACATGACAGGTGTTGGCCACGGGCAGGATGGTAGAGCAGGTGAGCAGGGGTGCCAGACCACTGCAGGGCTCTGTCATCGGGGTGAGCCGCTGATTGTTACTGAAAATCTTTTGCTACCGCATGCCACTTGAACCTGCTGTCAGAGCTGGCCCTGCTCACACCTGCCCAAGCACCAGAGCTGCTGCTCACACCCGCTGCCAGTGCCTGGCACTAACCCAAATCACTGGGCGCCATCAGCATATGTGAGCAGCAGATTCCAACCCCAGTTGCCCCTGAGGGATTCTCCACCTCCCCTGCTCCAATTGGGGGCAACAGCTGCTGCTGGCACCGACAACTGGTGCTGAAGCCACTGCTAGCACCCACTGCTGGCACTGAGTCAATCACTCTGTGTCATCAGTATGTGGGAATAGTGGTGATGGGAGTGGGGCCACAGTGGGAAGGGCCAGGCACGGGTGCTGAGGATAGGCTAAGACCCGCCCCTGTGCCCACCTCAGTCTCAAGGCACACATTCCTTTCAAGGTACACAAATTTGTGCACTGGGCCCTTAGTGAATAATAAAGAAATGACAACATATTCAATAAAAGTTACCGTATTTTCCGGCGTATAAGACGACCCCCTAATTTTACAGTTAAAACATAGGTTTAGGCCTATATTCGCTGTATAAGACTACCCCCCACTTCCGAGGCAACACCAGTTCTTTTTTTAATAGACCGCCTCTCTGACTCTGGCCAATCTGAGCAGGCTTTTTACTAGAACACAGTGTACATGTTCTGTACCCGAAGCTACACTGTGTTCTAGTAAAAAGCCTGCTCAGATTGGCCAGAGTCAGAGAGGCGGTCTATTAAAAAAAGAACTGGTGTTGCCTCGGAAGTGGGGGGTAGTCTTATACAGCGAATATAGGCCTAAACCTATGTTTTAACTGTAAAATTAGGGGGTCGTCTTATACGCCGGAAAATATGGTATGTGAGCCGAAACGTGTTTGGCTCAGTGGATAGAGCATCGGCCTGCAGACTGAGAGGTCCCAGGTTCGATTCCGGTCAAGGGCATGTACCTTGGTTGTGGGCACATCCCTGGTGGGGGGTGTGCAGGAGGCAGCTGGTCGATATTTCTCTCTCATAGATGTTTCTAACTCTCTATCCCTTTCCCTTCCTCTCTGTAGGAAATCAATAAAATATATATATTTTTTAAAAGTTATGTGAATGTGACCCCTCTTTCTCAAAGTATTTTGTATTAGCTGGACAGTGTAGCTCAGTGGTTGAGCATTTACTTATGAATCAGGAGGTTATCATTCAATTCCTGGTCAGGGCACATGCCTGGGTTGCAGGTGCAGGGCTCAATATTCAGTGGGGGAGGGGGGGGTGCAGGAGGCAGCCTATGGATGATTCTCTCTCATCATTGATGTTTCTATCTCTCCCTCTTCCTTCCTCTGTGATATCAATAACTATATTTTTAAAAATACCTTATTCTATACTCACCCTTCTTGTGATGCTGTGAGATGATACAATGCCTCTGGCATGAGGTACAGTGAGGTAAATGACATACTTAGGCATTGTGAATTACTGTTAGGATACTTTATGGGTTACTTGAACACCAGTACTGAGATACTGGGACAGTCAATGGAAACTGACTGACTAATGGGCAAATAGGATATATAGCTTGGTTACAGGGCACAAAAGGATGATTCATGTCCTCGGCCAGAAGGAGGAAACAAAATGAGATCATACTACTCAGACTGATGCACAATTAAAAACTTACAAATTATTTATTTCTGGTACTTTCCATTTAATATTTTTGAACTGAGTTTGGCAATATGTCTGAAACCATGGAAAGTAAAATTGCAGATAGGGTACAGTACTGTAACCATATATAAACCAATACTTTTGAATATTTCTAACTCACACAGAAAATTTAACAATGTAAAAAAACTGAAGTAGAATATTATACTCTAACCTCATTTTTAATCACTGCTGAAAGAGATCGCTTTATTATCAGGATTTATTTATTTTAGTAGGTGATTGCTACAATTTTTTGTTTTGTCTAAATTTAACTTTGTATTTATATACTTAAAGTATTAAGGGTTTCTAATTTAGAGCAGATTAATCTACTTCTGGCTTTGTTGGTTTTATGGTGAGATAATCTATTTACTTAAATCTTTCTTCTTTTGTTAATAGCTTAATTAATTGGCCAGATAAATGTTTACACAACACATGCTAAAACCATAAATTGCTTTTCTAAATGGCTGCAGGCAAGAATTGGACCAATGTAAAGCTGAGCTGACTATTCTAGGGAGGACCTTAAAAGCAAGGGAACCAGTCAATCATGTGTGTGGAAAACCCCTGCCAGAATCATGGTCTGTCTTTATTGGTGGATTTCCAGATCTTCATGGAGAAAACAGGTATTTCTATTGATGTTTGTATTATGACATTTTATGAAAAGCAAGGAAAACTTCATAAAGTTTTCTGATTTATTGAGCCATCTACATGGTCTCTAAAAGAAATTTTGAGACATTCAACAAACATTACTTTATCCTACCAAAGTATACTAAAAATGTACTGTTCTCATCTTTAGAATTGCTCCGCTATCAGGCTGTTTTTTCCATCTTATGTACTACATGCGTGGTTCATTTCATGAGAATATTAAGCATACTAGAGGCCTGGTGCACAAAATTCATGTCCAAGGGTGTGTGTCCCTCAGCCCAGCCTGCACCTTCTCCAGTCTGGGACCCCTCTCACAATCCAGGACTGATGACCACCAACTGCTTGCCTGCCTACCTTCCTGATTGCCCCTAACCATTTCTGCCTGCCAGCCTGATCACCCTCTAACCACACCCCTGACAACCTGATTGATGCCTAACTGCTCTCCTGCCAGCCTGTTTGCCCCCAACTTCACTCCTCTGCCCTCCTGGTCACCCCTAACTGCCCTCCCCTGCAGTCCTGGTCCCCCCAAAACTGCTCTCCCCTGCAGGCCTGGGTCCCACCCCCCCAACTGCCCTTCCCTGCTGGCCCAATCACCCCCAACTTCCCTTCTCTGCCAGCCTGGTTACCCCTAAGTGCCCTCCCCTGCAGGCTTTATTGCTCTCAACTGCCTTCCCTTGCAGGCCTGGTCTTTCCCAATAGCCCTCCCCTGCTGGCCATCTTGTGGCAGCCAATTTGTGTTTACATTGGGGCAGCTATCTTGTTTGTTAGAGTGATGGTCAATTTGTATATTACTCTTTTATTAGATAGAATAGAGGCCTGGTACATGGGTGGGGGCCTGCTGGTTTGCTCTGAAGGGTGTCCTAGATGAGGGTAGGGGTTCTCTTGAGGTGTGGGGTGTCCAGGGCAAGGGGCCTGTGGTGGTTTGCAGGCCAGTCATGCCCCCGGCTATCCAAGTGGAGGCAATAGGATCTGGGATTTATTTATCTTCTATAATTGAAACTTTGTAGCCTTGAGCAGAGGCCAGGGCTGGCCAGGAAGTTTGGCTTCCTCCATCGCCAAGGAAACCCAAGCCTCTTGCTTGCTTTGTGGCCACAGCCATTTTTGTTGGGATTTATTTATCTTCTTTAATTGAAACTTTGTAGCCTTGAGCAGAGGCCTGGGCCAGCCAGAGTGTGCAGGAAGCTTGGCTTTCTCCATTGCTGAACCTCCTGCTCACTTCGTGGCCACAGCCATCTTGGTTAGGTTAATTTGCATACTCACTCCTGATTGGTTGGTGAGTGTGGCTTGCGGGTGTAGCAGGTATATGGTAAATTTGCATATTACTCTTTCAGTAGATGGGATGGGCTTTTGTTCCCTCCCATGCTGGTTTCAATTGATACATGAAAGTATTGGCTTAACAACATACCAAAAATATGATTTAAGAAATGGAACTAGAAGACCATTCCCAGTCTCTGCTTCATAAACAGTTACTAAAATGTAAGAATTTTCTCTACAGAGTTCTGTGCAAATGCCAGCCCATTTTCTAAATATCCATTTAGGTAATTAGTCTGTTGTCTTCATTATTAACCTATATTTTAGGATAAGAGCATGCATGCTGACTTAAATGTTATTATTTTGCTTCATTTTATGTTATTACAGAGAGCTACTTAAAAAATTTAAGGTTGTTTGGTAAGTATACTAATAGCTTAATACATTCTATATCTTCTCTTTTGCTTTACATACTTATAACTTTATATTTCCTCCAATAAAGGGATTTTTCATATAGAATTTAACTTTTGTGAGCATATATTAAATGCAAGCTCTCAACACTCCAGGAGATACACAAATATCTCTAATATAGTTAGCTATTTACCCTAATAGAAGTATGAACAATATACAGAGGCAATGTAGAAAATAGAAAATGAAGCCTTCTGAATTCCTTGGAGTAGTAAGGGAGTTTGTAGTTAGAGATGATCAAGTGTCTACCGGGTAAATAATGTAGACTCTCATTCCAGGCAGATGAAACAACCTCACACAGAGGTATAGATAACCGAAAGACTTAGGCGAGGGGAATGGGAGTAGAAATAAAATAATACTGTGGAGCCATGGAGTTTAATGTGAATTGAGCATGAGAAAGACTTTATGTTGGTAAAGTAAGCAAGAGTCTAACAATAATGGATCCCCTATAAAATACAAAGTAGTATATATGTGTATGCTGGTGCCTGGAGGTGCCACTTAAGAAGTCTTAAAAAGTAGTAATATATTTATGCAGTTTTCAGGGTAACAGCAGCTGAAGTGTATAGGATTAGAGGGGTTTAGATGACCCTTTAAAAATTGGCAATGTTCCCTACCTTGTTTGGCTCAGTGGATAGAGTCTGAGGACTGAAGGGTCCAAAATTTGATTCTGGTCAAGGGCACATGTCTGGGTTGTAGGCTCGATCCCCAGCAGGGAGCATGTAGGAGGCAGCTACTCAATGATTCTTTCTCAACATTGACATTTTTATATCTCTCTCCCTCTCCCTTCCTCCTTGAAATCAATAAAAATATTTTTTTAAAAGAAAAGAATTGGTAATATTAAGTAATAGGAATGCTTAAATAAAAATCATGTGGCTTAAGAATGAGAAGATGACTATGAAAGCTATTAAACTTATGAATAATTGTAGGTTAAAAAATAGAAAAATGTGGAATTTGAATGACCAATTTGGCTTATATAAATAGAAATTTTATGCTATCTAATTAAGATGTGGATCACAAGATTACTTACAGGGAAAGATAGTAGGTTCATTTTTGCATTTGCACTTTTGCATAGGGGTAATTTTTAGATATTTAACTGGCTTGCCATTACCATTCATCCTTCAGTCCATTTTATCAGTCCATTCTTGTTGCATACCATTCCTATCAATGGGACATTGTGATAGAGAGTAAGTTAATTGAATTCACAAGAAATCTTGACCAAGATTTGGCTGTGTGAGTGTTTTATACACGTGATAGTGGAAACCACATCATTGACTGGATTGATTTTGTAGAAAGAGAGAAGTGAGAGCTAAAGTTTGGTGATCAGAAATAGAGAAATGATTTAAAGAAGAAGTGCCTACAAAGTGATTAATAAGTAGAAATATTGGCAGTAGGACACAGGAAAAAACATATTGTTAGCAAAACCAAAGATGGAAAAAGTTTCCCAAAGAAGCCTATGTTCAAAGCCAAAGCTAAAATAGGTCAACTAGCAGTTTCAGGAGACCAAAAATGACAGGAAACAAACTGTAATCTTTTGAGGAAGAATAAATGAAGCAACAGGGTGATTTTAGGTTATTTTAGTAGAAGCTTGTTAAAAAGAGAGATATTATCTAGCAGAGGACAGAATCTCAGAATTGCAGGGATATGTAATGCTAATGGACTATATCTAAATACTTTTTCTCGAAAAGCCTGTTTGAAAGGATTGGCATTTACTAAGGGATTATCTCACTAAAACCTTGATATCTGTCCTGTGATGTAGAGTAACTCGACATGTAATTAGAGTAGAGTAAATTCAGTATGTGAAAGAGTGAAGTTACCTTGAAATTAAAAGGACAACCAATTAAGCAGGTCTTCCCTTCTTGTTAAGTATGCTGTATTTAAAAGATTTTGTATCAATCCCCTACTGTTTTTTTATTCTTTCCTTACATTTTTACTATGACATAGTAGCTGTGTGTGTGTGTGTGTGTGTTCATGTGTGAAATACTTATATTGCTATGCACTAATTTATTGATACAAGCAAATTATAATAATAAAAGTATAATATCCTAATTAGACCAGACAGCCAAATGACCTTCTGGACATCCTTCCGGATGAACTGTGGTGGTGGAGGCCAAGGCAGAGGCAGTTAGGGGCCATCAGGCATGCAGGAAAGCAGTTAGAGGCAATCAGGCAGGCAGGCATAAGTGGTTAAGGGTGATCAGGCAGGCAGCTGAGTGGTTAGAGGAAATAGGCAGGCATGCAGGTAAGTAGTTCGGAGCCAGGGGTCCCAGATTGCAAGAAGGATGTCTGGGATCAGGCCTCAACCAGCAGCCAGACATCCCAGATTGCAAGAGGGTGCAGGCTGGACTGAGGGCTGTCCTGCCCCCTCCTCCCCCATGCATGAATATCATTCAACAGGCCTCTAATAACATATAACCATATGATAATACTTAAAGAGACATCATCTGGTAAATCAGAGGGGGGAAAACAAACTTTATGAACTCATTTCTGCACAATGCAGCCCTTCTGAACATCTAAATATCAGGCAGGCTCTAACTATCTAATTATTGTGTTCTGATTAAGAGCTGCTGTTTAAGCACAGTGGGTTGTCAGCGCTCAGAAAATTAAAAACAACAGGTTTTCAGTATAAAACACTGAGGAAGAGAACTACACTTGATTTCTTGAGTCAATGAATGTAAAGATATAATTATTCTCTTGACACTTAAGTTTCTAATAATGCCTTTCTGTGCTGGCCAGAGACTCTCAGGATAAGAGCCTCTAATCCAATGTGTGTGTGCTGACAGGTTGTTTAATGTTTCCTTGAACAAAAACACACAGAGCTCAGCATGCGAGGAGAGGTGGAAACGGTTCGACACTAGCAATTTTGTGCCTCAACTGTGAGAAACGCTGCCTCCCCTGATGTCCACATGATCACTTCCAAAGTCCGAGAGTAAATGCCCTCTCTCTGGTGGTTGCAAAAACACTTTCCTCTGTAGTATTTTATTTAATTGCTTACGCTTCTCAGTGCATGGACTTCCGCTTGTGGGTCCAAGTTGCTTCTTGACACCAAACCTTAACCCCAAATAAGTGCAGGGCAAGTTACACAGGAACCAGCTATTCTCTTTGCTTTATAAAATGTTTCATGACAAATTTACATGTAAGGGACAAGCCCTCAATATTTGACAGGGAAGTAGGCTGAGGAATAAGGACGCAACTGAGAAGATGTAATATCGTGGAAGGCAGAAAAGCACGTTTCAGGAAAGAGGAGCTGTTCAGTCTTGCTGAA